ACTGCACTGAAGCAAGAGAACACAGGCAATATGTAATGACATTCAATAATGTGTGCCTGTGACAAATTTTTAGCATACAGTTTTGGTAAGACATGCAGCCAACAAATTGTCTTTATTTTACACGTTCCTCCAGAAGGTCAGACCATAGGAGAGCTGTAGCAGTCTGTGATAGTATGATTTACTGCAGTACAGAATTTATTCTTACGCAGTTTCTATTACAGAGAATAAGTGAAAAACACCGGTATGTTGTCAGATACCTACGTTTAGTTCTCTTTTTAGTGAAGGCAAATCTTTACTTGTGAGATCTCAACTGGCTGCATAGAAATGGTGTTGATAAAACAATCCATTTCACCTCATATTATGTTTTCTTAAAAAATATATTACAGAACAAATAAAGTGTAAACCTCATCTGTGTTATTTCATCCACCTTCAAAACACATAGCTTGCTTAGTGAAAGTAGAAAAACAGCTTCTGTGTTTATGCAATAGACTTCACTACTACGTCAGTGCTTACGTGCTGGAATCATTTTTGGAACAGCTTTTCATTCTGTAGTCTACTGCTGCTTTTAGAGAGCCTTGCTTTATAAAGCACTCAGCACCATCTCATGAAAGACAGTACGTCAGTGAATAGTCACTATAAAGAAAGAAAATACTCTATTTACCACTTGAAAAATGCATCCTTTTTTTTGATCACAAAAGTCATTATAAAATGACCTTATATGTAAAAATCTCAATAAATTAAACCAGTAACATCACCGATAAGTTACAGAGAATCTCTGATTTTTCAAGTTAATATGGTATCTTCACAGTAGGAGACAAAGAAGTAAAAAATGATGCCACCTACTCAACATCACAGGTAAGTGAAAAAAGCAGTTGGTTCAGAGGCACAACAAACACGGCTGCAGGGCACTACTTCCAAAGGCCTGTACAAGCTATCACTTAGCACAGGCTGCACTGGAGATAGAATGAGGTGTTCTGTTGATGTCATGTCTGAATAGTACCACAGATGGAACAGAGGACAGGAGCAGCTACATGTCACCAAGGTTTAAAAAAAGGGTGCTCGCATAGGGACAACTGGAGACACCAAACACACTCTACTTACTTCCCATCTTTCAGAGAAACTGCTGCAAAAAGCTTATGCACTGTTCAACTCTGAAATAAGTGGTGTGACATTTAGGGTTAAATCTGGCCTGTAGCCATTTCTGCAAGGTCTACTGAACTAACAGCAGTTACAGATTCCTGGTAGTCAGTTGTACATTTTCATAATACTATTGGAGTCTCCATTTTCCTCCATAAGATGCAACGGTCCTCATGGTAAATGAAGAAAAAGAGAGAGAGAGGTACAAACTTAAGGAAAAAAAGACAAGAAAAACAAAGATTCTGATTTGCTAGGCAAAAATTATGTTACGCATTTATAAGACATAAAATAGAATTGTGCTCAAACTTGGAGTATATCAAAATAGATTACAACAGAGTGAAGAATACAGCCCACAAAAAGAAAAAAAAACAAAAACAAAGAAACAAAAAAACAAAAACGGGTTCTCCACTACAGAAAGAAAAAAAAAAAACAAAAAACCAACCCTATGATTATCACTAGATATATTTTCCTGGCCAATTCAGTACTTCAGACAATGGAGATTCATTTGCTGTTAATAAATGGTGTGATGTTGTTTTCAGAGGTTTAGACTGATAGAGAAATGGAATCTCAATACCTTTACCCTATCTTTAGAAGAACAAACACTTTGGCCCAAGAGTACTTTATCTTCCCCATCTGTACTACTCGTAACAATTTACATAATTAGATAACCTGCTTCAAAGTCTGATTTTCATTATGCAGACTAATCCCTATACTGATTTGAAGTGGAATGTTAAAATTGTGCTATATTTCCCTTTTACTTCCCTTGAATTTAACTTCTAAATTCCACAGAAATCATTATAGAATCATAGAAAGCTGAAGCTGGAAAAGATCTTAAAGATCACTCAGTCCAACCACAACCTAACCATACTAGCCTAACTCTAACAACTCTCTGCTAAATCATGTCTCTGAGCACCACATCCAAATGGTTTTTAAACACATCCAGGGATGGTGACTCAACCACGTACCTGGGGAGCCTATTCCAGTGTGTAACAACCCTTTCTGTAAGGAAGTTCTTCCTGATATCCAATCTAAACTTACCCTGGTGCAACTTGAGGCCATTTCCCCTCGTCTTGTCACCAGTGAGAAGAGACCAATGCCGCTCTTTACTGCAATCACTCAGATATTTGAAGAGAGCAATAAGGTCTCCCCTCAGTCTCCTCTTCCCCAGACTAAACAGCCCCAGTTCCTTCAGTTCCTCCTCAATGGGCACATTCTCCAAGCTCTTCACAAGCCTTACTGTCCTTCTTTGGACCTTATGTTCAGTTTCCCTTCTCCTGTACTAGAAGCTGTGATAAATACACAAATTTTGACACCAATTCTGAACTGTTGCTCCAATAAATAACTAACTAAATAAATAAATCACCATCTATCTTTTAAAGCCACAACCAGGAAACAGTTCAAGTAAGTTCATATCATACAAAATTCAGTGCTGCTACAAACTTACCTCAAAAACAGCTTCATCTCTGTAAGAAGGAAAGTTTTCCACCACAAGACGTAGTAGTTTCTGAGCACTGTTCTCACTCATTTTAACACAGGTGAGGAAAGAGCCTCCAAACTTCTCCATCAGAACCGTCCCGCTTTCATTCAGCACCCGGTGCCTCTCTTCAAGCAGAGGCATGGGCACCTCTGTGTCGGAGCGGAACACCTGTCTGACCTGGTCCAGCGTCATGGTGGCATAGTATGAGGCACTGGTGATAGGTATTCCTTCAGAAGAGCAAAACAACAAGGTATTAGGCTGCCGCACTACACCCAGAGACCTTAGGCACAGACCCACCGCAAACGTAAGACGCAGAGAGCCTCAACTCTTAAAACTGACAGCGTGCAGTGAAGATCACACTCAGACAGCTGCTTAACGTAACACCACACGCACTTGGTTGGTGTGCTCCCTGCTCGGGTAGGAACTTCTGATACGTAGCCATGGTTCATTTCTTACTTTCTGCACATGATTTTCCCCCACGGGTTTGTTTCCATCACTCGGCACAGTGCATACACTGTCCTCCAGCCACACACGGCCATTCTTATCAGTCTTTTTTTTGCCTGAGCTCCTCACTGTTACGTACTTACAAGAAGGACCTTATCGCAAGCTCTCCTTTAATTAAAAAGGAAATAAGCAGAAAAGTTACTACAGTTTCCCTCTCACATTCAGATTCTTTTTCTCGTTTTCTCCGAACGAGCTCACCCAGGAGCGCCGAACAGCCCTGCGCAGGCACGTGCTTTTCAGACCCACGGGGCCAACCTAGACGGCTCGCAGCTCGGCGCGGCCTCCTCAAACACCCGAAGGCACAAAGCGCTGACCGCAGCCACCCCGAAGCCGTTTATACGCGAGCGGGGACTTCCCTTCCCCCCGGGGCAGCCGCACACCCACGGAGCGCCCCGCCCGCACTGACCGTCGTCCAGCGCGCGGTTGACGGCGGCGCAGAGCGCCCAGTAGCCGCTGTACGCCTTGCCCTTGTAGCGCACCAGGCACTTCTGCTCGGCGCTGTCGGACCAGAAGGAGAAGTTGAGGGTGTCCACCAGGAACACCCAGCTCACCGCCTCCTCGCTGGTGGCCCGCGGGTTCAGCTCGTGCAGCGCCTTCCATCCCGACAGGCCGAACGCCTCCTCCGACGCTTTATCGAACAGCGACTCGGCCACCTTTCTCGCCCCCTCCTCGTCCACCGACACGTCTCGGCTGCGGCCCGCGATGAACCTGGCGGACTCCAGCGGGGACGGGAGCACCTCCATGCCGCCGCCTCCCGCGGGTAGGGAACGGGAGCCCTTTCCGACCGCCACGCCCCGCCGGGCCCCACCTCGAGCGCTGCCGGCCCTCCGGCGGCGGAGCGCCGCTTCCCGCCTCGCACTGCGCAGGCGCGTGGGGCAGTGCGGGTTTGGGCCGCCCCCGGGAGGCGAGCGAGCCGCGGCGAGGCGGTGATGTGGCCGCGTCGCTGAACGCGCGCACAAAGAAGTGAGAGCGACACACGTCCCGTTTCCTTCGCTCTTATCGGACAGTCGGCTTCGTTTCCTGGACACGAAGCCGCCCCGTAATTGCCTCCGAGGCAGGGCCCGCGAACCCTCCCATCCCACCAAGGCAGGAATTACACCCCGATTAAAAAAACCCAAAAAACTAGGAAAGCAAAGTGTCCTACCTGCACCTGAAGGGAAACAAAGAATCCACTCATACGTATATTCAACTCGGTTTGCAGTTTTTAATTTATTTTTGTTATTTATTTAGGAAGTGAAATTTAGACTCAAACTATAAATACAAAGGTATTACACATGAGATATTCAGGAGGCTTTTCTTTTTTTTTTTCTTTTTTTATTTCTCACATATTTTCTATGGCATTAAACATACAGCAGGGAAACCAAACAAGGTTAAGTTTTGTATACAACAAAAACAAGTTACAGAGTTATATACTGTCGCTTTGCCAATTCATAAGAACGCCTACCTCATACAAACGAAAGCTCTGAGAACAGCTAACCAACTGCCATTTCTAAGTGTTATTTGCATTAAGCGAGCTGTCTAGAACCAGTGTGCTTTACCACTGCTTACTCAGTGACATCACAATGTTCTTAAATATTTTATTTATGTACTGTCACCAATATATAGAGGTACTGCAAAGAGGGCCAAACACTTGCAGAAAGTCATTTTACACTAAGTTCACATGAACATTTTTGCATTTTATCCCCAAGTAGCAAAGCTGAGCCATCGCTTCACACAGTTTCATCGTTAAAAAAATCCCACATAGCTCCATCTATATCAAAGAAGCATAAAGCAAGCTTAACAGCAAATTTCACTTATGCATTTTCTTGTGGGGGGAAATAAAAGGGTGTATTGATTTTAGATATTACCTTATTTATATCTAAAGAGAGATGACCACCAAGAATAGGTTCACTAAATTTATTGAAAAATCAAAAATGTTTCTTACAAAAGAGCATTACATTCTGCACACTGCTCTCAAAGGATGCCAAGGACACGTGGACTACCAGTATTCTCCCCCTTCAAAAGGTACAGTGTACATGAAAGCAGGGTGTTCACAACAGTTACAAAGAAACGTTACAATTTACCACCAACAGTGAACAAAAAATGATATTCACTCTCTCTGCTGTTTCAAAATTTCAATGTTAGTCTCACGCGCCCTTTCCCTCCCCCAAAATATTTGTAAGGAACTAAAACATTACATCTGGTGGACAGCAAAGATTCCACTACACCTCAAATGCAGAACACCTATGAAGCAGAGGAATGTTGGCTTTTTAAACAGAAGCAGATAAAAAAAAAAGGTTGCAGGACTCCTTCAGTTCTTCACTAGTCTTAGAAAAACTTTCCAGAATACTGCTTCACACTATAAAAAAGAAAAAATAATCTTGCATTAGAATCCTTCAACATCTGCATACTGCTTCACACTATAAAAGAAAAAGAAAAAAGCATGTATTAGAATGATTGACCATACATCTTGCATCAACATTAACAATGACATTCTTAGAACAGATTACGTTTCAAGAACTTGTAACACAGTAAAAAATAGTTACAAAAGATTAACTGCTAGTAATTATATATATGTACACACATATATATGAATATTTTAGGCACACTTATGCATTAGTGATCTGGAGCCGAACAGTTAAGTTAAACATTAAAATCTACTATGATAGCTAACATGTTAATAAAGCGAAACTTAGCAAATTATATCTGAAGCTGTTATTTGCATTTGGCAGAAATGACAAGGTGACACTAGCAAGGTGTGAAATGCTGCTTAACAGCACCAAATTGTCCTGATTTCAACTTGTCCTGTAGAGGCATGATCTGTGCCATATGGCAGACTGCGATTTGTTGTCAATTTAATTATCTAAAAACAACAAAATCACTAGTCTTCCACACAGAACTAGACCAACATCCACTGAATCTTCTACATTTTCTACAGGCTCTATGTAATTTATTACAAGTAGTTTGTTTGGGTTTTTTTGTTTGTTTTGCAGCAGTTTTCACCAGAGAAATCAGAGGACTGCTTGGTTAAGGTGTCTTCCAGCAAATTAGTTTTGAGGGTGTCTTCATTTTAGTTAGAATGGAAAACAGAGGAGAGTCAAGGCAGAACTACTGCTGGAGAAGTTAGTTTCGAACAGTTACTTAAAACCTGCCTTCCAAGAACCTCTATTACAAAGAAGAAACTTAAGAATGCACCAGGAAAAAAAAAATCAATTTAAAACTGACAGTGAGAACAACATTAGACTTCAACTTGCCTGTTCTGCAGTAAATATTGTGCATTTTGTATCTGGTCCTGTGTTCCCGTAATAGTTATAATCCGATCTTCTGAGCCTTCTAGTGGTTCATCAATTTTGATTGAAGCTCCAGACTCATGCCGTATTTGTTTGATTCTCTGGCCTCCCTTTCCAATAATAGATCCTGCCAGCTAAGGGAGAAAGCAAAGCATTCATTTACTGATGTAAAATCTTGACATAAAAACTATTAGAAAATGCCTGTCAGTGTTTATGCATGAGTTTAATTTTAAGCTTCCTTCTTTACAGTCACAAAACAACCCCCCCACAATACCAGGTACAGACATGCATCTAGGATAAAACTGGAGAACTGGCATTTTAAAAAGAAGCTGCGTGGACCATTTTTTATTATTTGATATTAACTACTAACATTGCTCTGAGCATCTCTGTGACTTTATCTTAACTAAACAAATTAAAAGCAAGATCACTTTACTTACATCTTTGGGAATCGTTACTTGTGTTGTGATGATAGGTCCTCCAAGATCTCCATATGAACCACGTCCCCCTGCATAGGAATAGTCTGATTTAAATGTATGTACCAAGCCCTTTGAAACTTCATAATTAGTTATGTATCAAGGTTCTGTAAAAAAACTTACCATATCCAGAGCCACCCTCAAACTGTAACAGAAAGAGAAAGATACTGTTCATTACTTACACGCTTCATTAACACATTTACAATTTAAGTAACACACTGCTAACTCTGCTATTTTATACATAAATCTCAACCCCCCATGTTACTAGCAATTTAAAAGTGCTAAAATATAACAGTCATCTTTCCCCAGTAAACCTCTAATGGCAAAATGAAACAAGAGGTGCAAATCTTATTAACCTCTTGTCCCACCTTGTCAAAAACTTCAAGGAGGTGAGACAGAAAATGACATTAACAATCCAGACATAGCAGTTTACCAAGCAATCTTTCTAATTTATCTGCTGATGGACAGCTCAATGCTTACCTACTACAAACTTTCAAATCAAGAGATTTGAGAACAGTTTCATTAATACTATCAGTATAGCTCAGGAGAGAAAAAAGCCTCATTTTGGTCACCAAAAGTTTGCCAGTGACTGTCAGCCCTCCTACTCCATTCATCTATATCTTAAAACACAACTTTAAATATACCTCTGTAACTTGCCTCTCAATTATGCTATGGTCCTTTCATTCTTAAAACAAGACAGCCTTTCTTAAAACATGACATGAGTTACTTCTGTCCTGCTAAAACACCATATATCAAATCCAAACCACTGCAATAAGCACTGCTGGCATATTTTAGGATTCAGACTAGTACTTGATATCCAAGTGTTTAATTTCATGTAGTGCCGTTTAAATGCACAAAACCTCATTTTATTCTTTCCCTATAAAAGCATTTCTCTAGAATTTAATTTTTGGAGTGCAGATGCTGAAATGGCTTCTGTGAGAAGAAACCAGAACTGCTTCTGTGCACAGATACAGCCAGTTCCAGCTGGCTCCAAAACACCCACAACCCACTGCTGGCGAGAGCTGAATCTACCAGCAGATTCCATGGCACTTCTGTGATACCATATTTAAGAAAGGGAAGTAGGTAAATAAATAAATGCCATGTACCATCTGTGAGAAAGAGGAATAACAAAGGAAAGATGCAAGAGAGATTACTGCAGACACCAAGGACAGGAGGACTACAGTATGGTAGTATGGGCAGGAAGTGCTCCAGACCACCAGAGCAGGTTTCTCTGCAGTCTGTGAAGGAGGTCATCATTTACTTCACTACAGTCTATGGAGGATCACGTGAGAGCCAATACCCAAACTGCAGATTGTGGAGACATCATGTCACAGCTGGCAGACATGCCCTGAAGGAAACTGCAGGCCACAGAGAGCCTGCACCGGAGTTCCCTCTGGCAGGAACTACTGCCCATGTCAGAAGTTCAGACAGAAACACATTTTTCTGGTAGGAACATGAGTCCAGTAGAGGACCCATACTGGAGCAGACTGTTCCCAGATGATTGGGAAGTCCCATTCTGAAGCAGCTCATGAAGAACTGCAGCCTGTGCAAAGGACCTGCTCTGCTGTAGTTAGGGAAAGATGGTAAACCAGTTGAGGTCCCATATTATGGAGCAAGGAGAAGTGAGAGGAGGAAGGAGTGACAGAGAGGAACTGTTGAAGAACTGGCTACCACCCACCAAAGCCCATCCTCCCTGCACTGTTTTGGCCGAGAAGGAGGTGAAAGAGTCAAGAATGAAGGACTGAAGTTAAGCCTGGAAAGATGATTTCAGAGGGAAATCTCACCATTCTTGCAGTTTCAAGGCAACAAGCAACAAGAATTTTCCCCAAACTGGGTAACAGCACTTGATAATTTGTCTCCTTGTCTTTACCTCATCTCATGAGCTTTTTAATCTTAGTTTCTGCCTTTGTCTTGTTGAGGAAGGAAAGTGAGAGCACAGCTGAGACAAAGCCTAGCAGCCAGCTAAGGTCGACCCATCACAACTGCCAGACTGAGAAAGTTGTAATGCAACAACTTTTCTCAAAAAAAATATTTATCTTCTACTTTCTTGGAACATTAAAATTAAAGCTATTTGTACCAAATTCTTCAGCTTATCACAAAATGGCTGAGGTTGGCAGGGACCTCTGGGTCACCGCTTCAGGCTTAATTGAGAGAGCAATCAGAGTAGCATGCTGCAGATTTACAAACACATCTCTGCTGTTGTTTACCCTTTTTTAGGCAAAACTGCTATAAAGAACAATCCTTTATCATTTCTGCTACTCCTCCCAAGACTACGGGACAGCAAATGAATTTGACTGCAGTTAAGTAATACAACTGCAGTGTTTGTGTGAGCTGAGAACTGATATTTAATGTCTGCTGTCACTTTTGACAATTTCTAGTACAAATACTTGATGAATCCTGTCAGAACTTTCCTTCCTAAAACCTGTTGTTCAAACTGAATATGCTCACATACACAAACAATAAGAGGCAACTTTTAATATCTCCTATTTGATATAGGAGAAAGCAACATAACAGAATCAATACAAAATACATATCCTAAGTATTAGCAATTATAATGCATCAGTTATGGATTAAACATTACTGTTTAAAATACCAAAACAGCTTATAAAAGATACAGTGGAATAGAAAAAAATCCTGTCTTCTGACTGTAATGCTACATAGCTTCGTATTTCTGTCAACAGAACATGTATATGACACACTGTTAGGACAAGCTGCCAGAAAGTTCTGAATCAGAAGATTTACTATTTTCAACAGATGAAAACTGCTACTGACTGTATTCAAGCACAAAAAAAACCTTTATCACTTAACCAATTCAATGAAAGTTCTTGGAAAAAAAAGACTAGGGACACTCACCAGCTCTGGTGGCTGCATGTCATCACAGGCATCTACATGACACTGCATCATCTTCCAGACAAAACATAAGAGGAAAAAAGGAAAGACAGGTATAAGTCCATGTCTTAAGAGACTTAAAGGTTAGTTGTAACCAAATCCAATATAAGCTGGTACCAAGAAATTCTTTTCTGAACTACCTCTATACAACAGAGACAAAAAAAGTATGAGGCTTAGAGAAATTACAAGACTTGTTACCTTCTACTTTCAGCATAATGGAACTGCTCACTCTCACCTCTACTGCAGTGTAACGTATTTTCCTCTAACGTAAGCAGACAAACAACTAGCAGCAAAGCACGAACAGATTTTTTTTTTTTTTTTTTCCTCTTTTTTAAACCTCTTCTTAAAGTACTAAATTCATACATGAAAAAGTGTTATTCTGATATAAAAATAACATTTATCCTGTATGTTTTTAAAAAATGTTTATTAATGCTAAACTATCAGAGATCACCTTGATGCCAGGAGCAGATCAAGGACACTGCTTCTTATGTTCTACTAATTAATTTCTATTTACCTAATATAACCAATATTTTAGCAATATACTGCTTCCTATCTACATTAGAAATTTAATTATGTTTTTACAACACACAATATATAGAACTTTCAGAATTATATAGAAAAGACTGAAAAAAGATTAACAGGAGATTACAAAAATATAGTTTCTGAACTACTATTAAGGCATAGACCTTTGCAGAGTTAGAATGACACAAGACACAGAAGATAAGCAGCATACAGATAGAAAGTTCACCTCATAATTTAAAAACAGCTTCTAAAACCCTAGCTGCATGTCTTAAGACACATAACCAAATCCTCTGGTCTGTAGACTTACTGGTGCTAACAACTACCGGTACCAGAATGGAAATCAGATGAAACACTGTCTGGGCAAGGCAGTGTAAGTGCCATACGAATAATAATGTATTCACTTTTTACAGAAGATGCATGCAGTCCTTGTCAATGTCAAAATCTGTTAAAATTATTTTAACTTTCATCCATCCTATAAATTTTCGTTTTTTCCCTACGTAGGTAAATTGAAGAGATGTCTGATATTCTTCCTTTACTGATTTTTACATGGTTTGTATTATTAATGTTTAAGACATTTGATATTTGCAATCAGAATTGTATTAACTTTTACTGCTGTGTCTATACAGGAAGATACATATATATACATGCCTAAGTTTAAAAAAAAAAAGAACTAGGAATCATACAAAGGAGCAAATTATGGAAATACATGCCGTGAAAGTTTCTGAAGATGCACCCCATTTAAGAGATGTATTTCATTTTAATTCTCTATAAACCTCAATTTATAATGTTTACTACTGTAAAAATTATTTTTAAGCTAAAAGGGGGAGGAGAGAAAGTAGAGCAAATAAAGTGGCTCATTATCCATTTTTCTACCAGTTTGAGCTGAGATGGAGCTAATTTTCTTCACAGTAGCTTGTACGATACTATGCCTTAAGTTTATGCTTTAGATTTTTGATAAGAACAACCTGATAACTCTGTATTTTTTAGTTACTAATGAGCAGTGCTTACAGAGTCAAGGTCTTCTGTGATTTTCACACTGCTCCTCCAATGAGCAGGCTGCAGGTGCACAAGTAGTTGAAATGCAGCAAAACCAAACCGACCAAATGGAAGGATATTCCACACTATACAATACTGCGCTCAGCAACAAAAGCTGGGAGCGGATGGAAGGAAAGGAGCATTTCCCAATGTCCTCCTACAGGTTTGTCTTCCCAAGAAATCATTAGGTGTGTTGGAATTCTGCTTTCCTGGAAATGGCTGAGTATCTGCCAGCCATTAGGAAGCAGTGAATGAATTCCTTAGTTTGCTTTTGCTGTGTGCAGGTTTTGCCTTACCTACTGAACTATCTTTATCTTGATCCACAAGTTCACATTTTCACCCTCCCAATTTTCTACCTATCCACAGCAGAATGGAAATGAGCGAGTGGCTGTGTGGTGCTTCCCTGCCTAGGGGGTTCATCCACAACCACTGCTGATAGTTTCGTGTGCATTTATGTATTTGAAAGAGCCACGGGAATTGAGGTGTTAAAAACAAAGAAAAAACATATTCAATTTTTTTTCCAATTGTCTGAATAGTTCTCATGGTCCACAGGCATTTGATCTGGAGTAGTTACAGCCTGCAATGTATAGTTGTTTAGGAGAAACAATATAGATCTGTGTTTCAGAAAAAACTTTCAGAACAGAGAAAGTATGTCAAATGAACCCTTGCAAAAAGCAGCACACAATTACAACTGTAAGCCAGGCAAAGAAAATTAACATTATTTTAAAATGAAAATTCTTTCATCTCAAAATTTACAAGGCCGTCAATGTCTTCTCTCAGCATCCCAAAAATGAATGGTTCAACATTCAGCCTCAGTGGTCTTTTTACTACTACAAATTTACTCCTTTACTGGAAAATAAAACTGGCAAAACAGGACGTTTTATCTCTAAGATTTTGGAGATGTCTGCCTGAGAAAAGCATCTACTGTTGCCTTTTTGTTTTATCTACATAATACATAAAGCAGTGATTTTGGTCTATGAAAATGAACACATGTGATTACACTTTCTTATGGACGTTCAAGTCAAGAAAGTAAAGGTCAACTTTCAGATTAGCAGACCATACAGGAATCCACACAATTTTTCTATTCTAGCTGGAAGGGAACAAAGCTAGAAGACATTACCACTTGGGAATAAAGCTAAGCAAGACTGCTGAACCAGATACACAAGAAAGGGCAAGCTGCCACATTTGTGATCAGCTTCACAAACTGTAAATATGAAAACACAAAAACTCAGCTTTGACAACCTATGAATACATTAAATAATTAGTTTGGTATATTTCTTGATTCTTCCAGTTTATTAGGATATTAAGTAGTGTAGGCAACACTTCTTAGTATCTGTTACATGCAAGACTTTAATTTCAACACTTCTAGTGAGTATCCAGCATCCTTGTAATATATACTTCCAGTAACTCTTATTCCCAGAAGGTAGAGATGTGTAAAACCCATTTATTGATATTTCCTCTTTATTTCTTCTTCATTCATTAATTTTAAGAATATTTTTTAAAAACCTGAAAAAAAATCTCATCTGTCATTTTAAGAAAGGTACCCAACAAAGCTAAAGGAAAAAAAAATGTTACCACAGACAGCTATGATTTTTCTTCCTATTACAAGTAGAGGAATCTATTACAACTACAGATGATTGCTGGAGAAGTTACACATCAGGATAGTTTTAAAAGTTTCCGTAAACTATTGATTCCACTCTCCTTTCCCTTTCCTCCCAAGCAGTTATTAGCACTAATATGGTTAAAAGTACTTAATTTAATACAATAAAGTTCAGTAAAAATATAAATTACTACTGATCTTTAGTTGCCTTTTTAACACGTGTGTTAAGATGTCCATGAATAAAATAAGGTAATTGTTTTGACACGTTTTCTTTATTTGAAAAGCCTAGCATCTCCTGTTTCTGTGATTTTCCCTAAAACAAAAGTCTAAAAGAAAGTCAGTGCATGATAAAGCACAGTAGAACTTGCTGTGACACTGATGGCAGAAGCAGGCAACAGGGGAGGTTAAGGTTATTGTCCTACATAATCCTTATTTTCTAAACACTCCTTTGAAAGAGGGACTGCTTTTGTAGAGAAAAGACTATATAAGTGCTTGTGTTTAACAACAGTACCTTCAGACAGTCATGTGCTGAACTGTGCTTATAAAATATGAGAATGTGAACCTTAAACTCCTACCATTCCATCGTAACGGTCTCCTGGTCTGCCTCTTCTGTCATAAGACATCAGATCTCTGAAATGAAAAAACATCTCGTAAATCACATCATAAGCCAGTTTCCTACATTCTCATTCACATTTTCACATTCATGAAATGTAACTACTTTAGCAAGGTAGTGAATGACAAAAAGAACTCTACAATGGCCACCGTTCTAGCAGCCTCCATGCTACAATACAAAAAATAAATTCCAATACATCTCAAAGTGCTTCAGAGGAATATATACACAGTCTTCACTATGAGCATGGAAGTGTGAAGCAAACACTGGGGAACCTGAACAAAATTCAATACAACTTGACTTTTATACAGTGTATTTATGCAACAACTCACCCGCCACGAGGAGGTGGAGGAGGAGGAAGGGGAAGATTACGAGCTCTGCTGCCGCCTCTGCCACCACGACCTGGTGGAGGTGGTGGAGGTCCTCTACGAGGGCTCATGTCGTCATAATCTCTTCTTGATGGAGGCATAGGTCGACCACCACGGCCAGGAGGCATTCGATCAAAACCTCCTCTCCCACGCATAGGAAAACCCACTGGGCGTCCCCTTCTATCATCAAACATAGTAAAGCCACCATAGTCGTATGTTTCATCATAGAAGTTGGGATCGTAAGGCTGAGCCCGTCCTTTTATTGGAGACTAAAATAAAGAAACAAGAAGTTAGCACCATTATAATTAGCATATTTAAATATATTACATGTATAGAAGCATTTATCTTATTTTTGATTTCACAATGCTTGTAAGAAAGGAAGAGGTGATGAGTTTCCTGTAAACTTGATAATAGAGGAACTGCTATTACTTATCAGTTGCATTGATTTTCACTTTTTGCATTAAGGTTAAGTGAAGCATGAATAATGTCCCACTAGTATAGAAATTGCTTAAGTGCATCCCAATTCTGGAAAACAACAACTACTTCAAAACTTCACATTCCAGCCCTTTGCTACTGGAAAAGTAGGAAGTACTGAATTCAACAGAAACTGAAAGATGTAATGTTCCAACCAAATGATTCCTATTGTTCAGGAATGCCAAAAGAAGAATAAAATCAAATGTAATAAACATTACCTCAGAGATAAGATCCAAAATAATCTTGATACATTCAACAACTCTATCAGGTTTTCCACCAATAAGCACCACTCTGTCAGTTGAATGAGGACAACACTCTTGGAAGAGCTTAATGGTGGTTTGAGTGTTCTATTGAAAAGAAAATAACAAGACTCTGAAATATAAACTTTATAAATTCCTTGACAATAAAATGGTTAAAATGCCCACTGAAGTGCTTTTAAATAAACAATTCCAAAGGCAACTGAATTTCCAATTATTTTAAGTACCTTCTTACTTTTGAGTTCTCACAATAAATTTTATTTTAGAAATGTATATTTTAAAGCTCTGTAACTATATATTTCTCTATTAAGAGGAAAAATAGTTCATTATTTTCCCTTTGTTATTTATGGCTAATGTATACTACTGTTAAACTAAATACTAACATAAGGATCACACATCCATTGCAAGCTTACAGGTTTTATTAACTTTCACTTGTCAGGAAAACATGCTTTGGATACAAGACACCAATGCTGCTAGGATTACATGCCTAGCCACCTTGTCTTTGTCAACATACATAGAAGATTGTCAGCTTATACATGAACTGATCTGAAATTGCCTCTCACACAATACCAAGAAAGGACAGAGAACAAAGGTCTTTTAAGTTCACAGAAACCATTAGCTGTTTTGAACAAAACCTTCATTCCTGCACTGAAGGAAAACAACAGTCTTGAAGTTTTAGATAGGTATTCAAACATCTACTGCATGATCTTCATGATTGTGTGGAAATGAATTCGCCTTAAATCATTCTGCATGTCAAGCCACTCACCCCAAGGAATCTAAGCCAATACAGTAGATCCTTCCAGGAGTGATGAACTTTTCAAATTTAGAAGCGTCCTTTATAAACGCTACCCTACCAGAAACACTGCTTAAAAGCTTGAAGAGAAGTATGAGCCTCTATTATTAATCATCTCTTTACTCCTGAATGTTTCCAATAAAAATTCATCTCAGGGTACAGAAATCACACACACTGTCGTAACAAGGAACTATCCAACAGAGGATACCCACATTTGCACTTTATGAACACAAAACACACAGAACAAAAGCCAAGTCTTGGAAGAAAAGGAAACAGTACCTCTCTGAGTTCTTTGATTTTAGCACCCTTGACACCAATAATTCCTCCTGCCAAACTCTGGTGAATAAGAAGTCTTAACTCGCAGTCAAAGTCGCTGCCTTTGTAGTGTTGATACTGTCAGAAATATATGTTAAAGAAGGAAATAAGAGACTATTTTTTTCCTCCAAAGATAATAGCATGATTTAATCAACTGCAGAATTGTAACTCTTTATTTCCTTTCATATGATAGCATCTTGCCTCAACATCAACTGCTGTCAAGATCATCTTCTTTACTTCTATTGTGACATTGCAAAACTTTCTGTAACAATTTCAGAAGATAGCAAACAGTGCAACAAGCTTACAAAACCAAGGCAGGGTACAAATGAGAATACAAGTGCTTCTAACTAGAAACTAAAGAAAGTTAGGAGACAAGTGTTCTGGAAGCAGGAGGAAGGGGAAAGCTGCTCCAAATATTCATTTAGTATTTAGAGACCACTCTTTCTATCACCTATCAAAAAAAAATATATATATACCAACACGTAGTTTGACAGTTGTGCTGCTTCTTTAGAAAATACAAAACAAAAGCCTTTTAATTTAATGTATTAAAAAGCAGCAAATCATCTAGAATTATCTCACTTTAAAAGCAAACCTTGTGGGTATAAAGAACAAAAATGTTAAGAAACTTACCTCTTCTAAAGTAGGGATAATCTTCTTCAAGATTTCTCCAATTGTCTCTATATCTGCACTTATACTCAAGATGCTGTCAGAACCCACAGTGCCAGACAATATGGAGAAGGTAAAAGAAGAAGCAGAAGTAAATTTTTTATTCATAATGATACTTAAAATTCTAACAAGATTTACTGTACTGAAGAACTTAGTCAATATTCCCCAAATAAAGTAAACCTGTTTTCTGAATTCAGAACACATGCATCTTTGTTTATAACCAATACATATGCATGATAAATTTAAGATTAGGTAGGTCTTGCAGAGAGACAGAGAGAGATAGAAAGAGAGAATGGGCTTTTGGAAGGGCTCAGATTAAGTGGGCAAGAAATTGACGCAGAACTGAAAGCAGAAGTGAATATTCATGTTCCCCGCCACCACTAATTTAGGATACCCTCGCTGTTACATTGGTAAAACTGGCACACCTTCTCGTAGTATAAGTGGGGATATGCAAGTGGTGAACACTGTATCTGGAGTAAGATTATGATACCAGTTAGAAATTAGATTACTAATGGGCTCTGCAAGAAAACAAATACAAATGCAAGACAAAAAAGGACAATACAAATGAGAAGTGAAGGAAAGTGAACCAGAGTTAGCATTTCATCAGAAATAATTATGAACAGGCAATGTTGAGGGAGCAAGGTGGGCCACAAAGACAGAGCGAGAGACTACTTTGAAACAATTTGATTTACAATGCAGCGAATATGCAACACTTGAAGCTGTGCTCCTTCCATTGAAATAAAATTAGTGGATTGTTCGGGTGGGCAACTCACGTAAAAGTTCAGTGACAAAAAGACTTAATGGGGAAAATAAGACAGAAAACTTGAAAAAAAACAATACACCGTCTATAAGGGGATACTATTTAATTATATAAAGGCAGGTAATAAAATACATTTCTCTCTTTCTAATCAGGCAGTGAGGCATAAACTGTTGGGACATACCGCTCGGGGCCACTGCTGTCTGGGACTGAAACACTGGCATTGTACTGCATTGGTCATTGGCGTTCGTGGATGTTGGCATTGGGCATGGGTATTCAATCGGAAGTTGTCAAGTATGGTACCCGTTTGGCAACGAGCACATTTTTGGGCATAGCCAACCAGGGTTTTCACATGGGCGTTCAGGGGCGGATGGGCCAACGTCATGGTGGGCAACGCAGGGGCAAGACGATCCAGTACATGGGCAACGGAGATATATGGCCAAAAAAACAAGGAGAGGGAAAAGGGGGAAAAGCAATAAATTTTAATTTAATACAAACTATACTCATTACTCTCAATTAATGAAACAAGCTTACGTTGTTCTGAAGGCTAACACAATAACGGATTGCTACAATGACTGTGGCTTATCAGTGTGGACCTTAAAAATGAGTCACTAGCTGACTGAACTAACTTTTAACATACGATGTTTCAGTAGCAGGCTGGCTCATGAGGGTAGACACAAAACCTGTCAAGACTGATACTACGAAGACCTTGGGCAAATAGGGAATGTTAGCTTTCCAGACCAGTCTAAATTATCTGGACTTAGGTGATCTACTAATTATTAAAAAAAAAGCCAAACCAAAACAAAAAAAAAACCAAAAAAGGAAAAAAAAAAAAAAGAAAAACGAGAAAACCACTAGCTGCCAAAGAGAGCATATGTATGATTCCTGACCATTTCAGCTTAAAGCTACTTGCTGTATTTATGACCTTAGGTGGAACAGATTTCTACTGAGACATTGCCAAATACTGTGTTGTACAGAGTTTTGCTTCAAAAAATTGTTGAAATTGTAGTTGATGTTAAGTACAGGAGTGTAAACAAACAGAATTTAAGAAGCGTTGCCAAGTTTTATAAATACATAACATTAATGCTGAACACGTGTTTAATCATAAGAGTCAACCCACTATAAAATATGAGTAAGCATGTAAGTCATGACTGTTGAAAAATGTTTCCAAGTAATACAATCGTGTTTCTCTACTGCTCTATGCCCATACTGTAACCAAGTAAACCTAACATTAATGTTTTTGTGTTTCATGTGCAAGCTGTTAAGGAATGGACAGACAATTTTCATGTTTTGTTGTGTGTGTTTATTCTTGGTTTCTTTTTTTGAAGGAAGTTAAACAACTCCTCTATCACCAGGTTATGCCAGCCACCTGCAATGGTTTCAGCAGTGCTATAATTGATTCACACACATGGGAAATGGTACAATTAAGGGTTTTAAGTTTTATCAGTATTTCTTGTTAGGATGTTAACTCACTTGAAGTGTGTAATTTAGTGGAATTCTACTCAAAGGAAAAGAGGTTTTAATATAAACCTCTTCTGTCATGGGTCAAGCTGGGTTTTAATTACTAAGATCCCTACTCTAACAACCTACAAATAGCTGGTAGCTAGACTACTGGTGTCTAGAGTTGAATTGCTCCCATTTCTAAATATGAATGCAACCAAGCTTTCGATGTAGTGCTCTGAAAGAATTGGTGTTAAATTAGTTTAAACTCGTGTATACTCACGTCTGTACGAAGTGCCTTAATATTTTTGCCACCTTTTCCAATCACTGCTCCAGCGTTCTAAAAAAGAGTTTTCAGAAGTCACATTTTGCCAACAATTCCGAGGTTCAGAATAAGAACTATGTATCTACTTCCATACTATCCTGCTGGGAGGGGTTGAAGGAGCAGGAGTGTAGTCGGGTTTGCTTCTGAAAGGTTTGGATCAAATGGAAACAAACTAATAAGGATTTTCCATAGGAAAAATACCAACAACTCTAATTAAGAATTCTAAGGGAGGAGTATTTAGTTTTACAACTAATATTCAAAATACAACTTCAACATACAACTTCAATTCAAAATTTAAGTCTAGACAATTCGGCCTATGTTAGAACTATCTCACAGTTAAAATTACAAGTTTGAAAAAGAGGATTCCATGAACATCAGCAATTTCCCTAATTTAACCTTTTTTTTGTTGTTGTTTTAATGTTCACAGATTTCACTCTTGCTCTCCAAACAATTCTTGATAATTGTAAGGGTTTCCTTTAGTTTACATCTATTTAAGTCAACTGACTTTTCAGAGGGGTGCATTTGGCAAAAAGCAAAGACAACGTTAACAATCACTAACTTTCTAAACATTTCTAAAGAAGCATCAGAAGTAAGTTAGCAGAGATCAAAGAAGAGTAAATGCAAAATTACATTCTGCTTTTTTCTTTTATTTTTTTACCAGGTTATTTCAAAGACTACATGCAGATCATACCTGAGGCTAACAGCACACAAACATTTCCACGTAACTTGATTACTGGGCAGAAATGCTGCACGGAGCTCAGATATTTCCCCATGCCAGCACAAAAGACTGAGATGTTTCAGACAACATAAATTATCTTTAACAACTGTAAGCAGTAGAGGAAATTCACATATAGCAAGTTTACAGGAACAATTTACACTAGTGCATGAAGCTATTGCAATCCCTAAAGCGTTATTCCCACATTTTTTCCTGTTGGTGCATTTGAACAGATTTAGGAAATTTGACAGTGAAAGTTAGTATAATCCCAATAAGCTCTCATCTCAGCCACCACACAATTAATAATCACTGGCTGACTATTCTTTGAACTGCTTCCTTTCTGAAGACTAATGCACAGTCACATACCCCTTTCCCCCTTCTCTGCTCCAAAATGACAATCCACTCAAACACAAGAAAACAGCTGTTCATTTCTATTGCTTTTTTCTTCAGAATTTGTCTTCTTTAAAGAAATCAGCAGATTCTCAAGAACTTACCCTTTGAGTTACTGAAGAAAACTCCATCACAATAGTCCTACTGCTATCCATGCAGACTGAGAAATATTTCTACTTACTTTATATTAAATAAAGCATGTTCTTTCTAAACCTATGTCCCAAATTACACTTTGTCCAAGCTGTCTTGAGCAACACTATAAGCAACAACAGAGCAATAATAAAAAGATAGCATACTTTGCTTTGAAGCAGGATACGTAATTCAACCATCTCATCTGTATTCCGAGATCTCTTGAAGGCCTGTTCTTCCTCCATGTCTTCTGCAGGACGTTTGCCTGTAGAAAGGTCCATAGGGGGGAAATACAAACATTTATTTAACTTTCTAAGTCAAAACAAAATGAAGCAAATTCCAAGTTTACCCTCCTCCTCACACATTACTGCTTATCAGCCCAACACTAATTATTGATGTCCAATCTCAGGTTCATAGCAAGTCAACAGGCTTTTACACTACCAGTCTGCATCAGTTATTGAGATCCCATTTAAAAACCCTAGAATCATGACTTAAATGTCAGTATTACACGCTTGTTTGGTGACACATTAGCAACATGCTGTTTCAAACAATACAGCATCACCTACCCGGTATTTCCTCTTACAATTTACAACTGTGAAAACCTTCCAACCAAGAAGTTCAAAGGCAGCTTGTCCAACAGTGAAATAATGGTGAAATAACAGGAAAGCAGCATTTCAAATGCTGTTTGGAAAAACTAGCATGAATCAACTCAGCACTACCTCCCTAACTTCCTGCAATGCAAAAATACTGTTAGGAGACATTACTGTTATTTTTATGTAGTTGCAGCCATTTAGGCAATCCCTAACGCATTCAAAGAAACATTATGCTTTCATGCTTCAAAAGTCAGTCAGACAGAGCACAGAAATTGGAAGATTTAATGCAGAATGCAAGATGGGAGCTGGTAAATGCTTATTTTATACAATTAAAGCATTACAAGATGTTTAGGAACAATGAAATTATAAAAGGCTGATTCAGAAAAAAAAATAGTCCTTGAAAAAAATTTACCATTTGTCTCTGTGTTGGTAAAGGTCTCCTCCTGTTGTTCAGTCTCCATCACCTTTTTTTCTTAGGCTGGCAGATAAAACCTGTTGAAGAATAAGAGTTAGAATACCTACTTCATAAGAAAGCGAATTGTGCATTATATTTAAGAGAAAAAGAAAAGATGAATGCCTGCTTCTGAGACTTACCGCTGTTATATATCCTTGTGGAGAAAAACCTCAAGTATTCTGGGCGGGCTCAAAATCCAACAGCCTATCACCTCCAAAAACCTATGAAAACAGCACAGATGAGTTGTGACTTGCTTCCTGCTACGATTCTCACTACAGACAGAACAAAAAAGAGGTCTGACCCAAGTTTTTGCTGTAAAGCTCTTTATAAATGAGAAAACATATGAAGGCCAAAGACACCACTAACAGGTGATATTAAACAAATCTGTAACCTTACAAATAAACAATTATAGTCTTAAGCATCATAGTTTCCAAGCATTTGGTAATATTAAGTAGTTACTGTTATTAACTGTGATTTTCAGATACTTAGAAGAATACAATTCCTCTGCTCCTAGTGTTTAATTCTGAATAATTTCAAATAAAAACCAGGAAATTTCTGGTAACTGTCAACATTATTTTTTATAAGTCTTGCGTCAACTAACTAGCAGGCATTTTAACATGCCTACTTTTGTTAAATCCATCTGGAAATACTCACAAGGCCAGACAGGAATAATTTCGTAACTTAATTTCTTCCAAAACATAATTTCTACAGATAGCACCACCACACAATCCACTCGTCTCCCTGGTAACTTATTGTTCAATTTCCAGCAAATGTCTGAGAGTCTGGTTTCCACAAAGGAAAGAAGGGAGGAGAGCGCAACTTGTTAAAGGTAGACCCAGCCAGTTGTTAACTTGTTACAACTGCACTGTAAGGGACAGGTGGCAGCCGTGGAGCAGCGCCTTCTCATCAGAGGTTGGCCTTTGCCTTGCACGAACTAATGAGTCTCAACCAGACACTGCCAAAACGCTACCACGCGGTGAAAGAGATTTTTACAAGGTTCAATCAGCCCATCTGAACACCGGTTATTCCACTTCCGACCATCCCAAGAATTTCAGCACCGCAGGGAAGGGAATGAAATATAATATCTTGGTTCAGGGCTTGATCTCCCCCGGCCTCCTTTACTGATCACCCACAGCAAATCTCCCCTGTCACGTGTACTTAATGTGCTCTGCGTTACAGTGCCTGCTCTGTAAACCGAGCCAGTGGCATTAATGTGACGAACACAACATTCTTACAAGCACCAGGAGGACAAAGCGTCCACGAGCGGCCGCAGCCCCGAGAACAGCACAGGGAAAGGCAGACACGGTTCTGTTCCGCTCTCCCCTCGCCGCCCGCTTCCCGGGCAGCCGCCGTTACGTAACCCGCAGCCCGAGCCGCAGCTACCGGCGGCGTCGGCGCGCAGCAGAAATGGCGGCGGCTGCAATGGCGCCTGCCCGCTGCTAGGCGGAGCCGACGGCGGAGGAACCTCCACCATGCGGCCGCACGGAGATCTCCCCCCTCCCGCCCCGGGGAACACAAAGAAGGCGGCCGGCGGCTCTCGCCTCGCCGTCTGGGACGGCCAGGCGGCAAGATGGGCTCCGCGAAGAGGCAGGCGGCGGCGCGGGACACACCGCTCCGTGCCGGCGCAGCCTCTCGGCGCAGGCCTCGGCCGCCAGCGCCCTCCCCCCGCCGCCATAACCGCCGACAACTCGCCCCGGGCGCGGAGTTGCCGAGGGCGGGCGGAGAAAGGAGGAGGCGGCGGCCGCTCTCCCGCCCTCCAAAGTAGCCGATGCAGCACCTCCAGCCTCGGCGCACCGCTCGTGCGGGGCCCACGCCGCTCTTCGCATCCTCCCCTCCTCGCCGGGGCCGCCCCGCTCTCCTCCTCCTCCGCACAGCCTCACCGAGCTCCCCGCGGGACCCTCCTAAGTCCCGCGGTCCACCCGGGCCTTTCTCCTCGCCGTGTCACGGAGGGGTGCTGCGCAGCCCCGCTGCCCCCCCCCCGATGTGGCCCGGCCTCCCCGCGCCCCCCTCCCCTAGCCCGGCGGGCCCCCAACCCCCCCCCGCTGCACCTCGCCGGGGGGCCGACGTTACCTGCAGCCGCCGCCGGCCCCCGCGCACACAGCAGAGAAAGGGGTGCAGCCCCCAAGGCCGACGCGCACCTCCGCCGCCGCCCGGCGATTGGCTCCGCCGCGCCCCCCCCGCGCGGCCCTGCCGCCGCCCCGTTGGGGAAGAGCGCTGCCCCTCAGCGCTCCGCTCCGCCCTCCGAGTACGCCACGGCGAGGCCGGCCCGGCCTTTTTCGGGAGGGCGATGTCCGCCGTCCCGCGCCATCCCGCCGCACCCCAGCGGTACGCCTACCTGCCGGGCGGAAAGCCGCCCCTGGAGCGGCGGCGGCGGTGGAGACAGCGGGAAATGGCGAAGGAGACCAACAGCACCCTCGTCGCGCGCAAAGAAAATGGCGCCTACGAAAACCCCGCCTGGCGCCTGCTGCCCGGCGCCGAGGGGGCGGGGCTCTCGCGAGGCCTAGAACGGCGCGCGGATCGCGGCTGTGATTGGCTGCCGCGGCGCGCGGGCTCGGGATGACTCCCCCAGCGGGGCTGCGGTAAGTGCGGGGTGCGTCGGTGGTACCTGGAAGTCTCTCTACGCCTGTTGAGAGCCCTCGAGCCCGGTCCAGGCGTTCGCACGTTGGTGGTGCTATGGTGGGGCCTTAGGGAGCGTTGAGGCGGGTGTTCGTTTATGTTGCTGTGGGATATAGCGGCCAAAACCAGGTACTATGTATTTTGGGTGTTCTGGGGGTGAAGTAGTTGCGGGCACGGTTATACAGTTTGGATGCACACAACTACTCCCTAAGCTAAACAGAAACTACGGCCTTTTAGCCCCCAGTGATCGTCAGGTACTGACTGCCGTGACGTTGGCCGTCAAACCCTGCCCTGAGGCTCGAGATATCAGAGGTATTTCCTGTGGTCGGGCCCGAAGCTCAACTCCAGTGCCACAGGAGTGAGCAGATCGGTGTTGTGGATGGGGCCTTCTGCTTCTGTTCACGAAATGGGACAGTGTTATCTCAGGTCAGTTCCTGAAGTAAATTCAATGTTAACAGTGGCACCCAGAAGAAGAAAACAAACAACAACAAAAAAATAAATAGGAGATCCATTTTTGTGTGTAGCTCTGGTCATGAGATTTGTTTTGGTCTGGTCTTTCCACACACAGCAATGGGGAAGCGGTTGCGTACTTCTGATTAAATCATCAGGAAAGAAGGACTTCCCAAGAAGTGTTGGGTGTTGAATACTGTTTCTCCATGAGCAAGCTGCATAGGTTGCTGATGCTAGCTGAGGCTTACTTGTCTAAATGTTGCATATTTATTTTTAGTATCCGTGGCAGCGTTTCTAGTTGAAAATGCTTCTATGTTGTCACACTTAGAATAGCTGGGCTTCTAAATGAGAGAAAATTGCTGAATTGTAGGAGTGAAAGATATGTCACAAATTCAGCTGTTGTCAGAAGTGTAAGTATATCTTTCTGGATTTTGTTTTAGCTTGAAAGAAAATGTCTACACCTAATGTCACAGCAAGAGTGGAAACCTGGCTTTCATCTACATGGCACATTAAAGTTCCTTTGACATGGCTAGAAGCATGTATTAATTGGATTCAGGAAGAAAATGGTGGTGGCAACTTAAGTCAGGCTCAAATTAACAGGCAGGTATTTGAGCAGTGGCTGCTTACAGACCTAAGAGATTTGGAATATCCGGTTTTGCCTGATGGTATCTTAGATGCCCCCAAAGGAGAGTTGTCTGGCTTTTACTCCTTGCAGATTGACTCATTGCTTGACGTTAGCCAACCAGCATATTCCCAGCTGCAGAAGATAAGAGGGAAAAGTACTGTAAATGAAGAAGTAACAGCCAATACTCAGGCATCCCAAAAGCCCTGGGAAGCAAAGCCTACCCGAATGCTGATGCTGCAGCTAACTGATGGGATACATCAAATCCAGGGCATGGAGTACCAGCCAGTGCCTGTCCTCCATAGCAGCCTTCCACCTGGAACAAAAATCACCGTGCACGGTAATGTTGCATATCGTCTTGGAGTCCTTTTGCTTAAACCAGAAAATGTAAAACTTTTGGGTGGTGAGGTGGATGCTCTTCTGGAGGAGTATTCTCAGGAAAGGGTCCTTGCTAGATTACTTGGAGAAGCTGAGAACCCTGATTCTGTTGGACAATCTGGTCATGAACAAATTGTTCCAGGTCCTGTGGATGAATTAGGACAATCTATAGGCCCTTCGGATGAGGAGCTCTTGGCCAGTCTTAATGAAAATAATGATTTTATTTTAAACAATGAAACATCTTTAGAAAGTGGATACTGCAGTAGAAGCAATAATTTTAGTACAGCCTCAGGTTCACTCACTGCACACAATGAAAATGCTTTGCAACAGGAATCAGTAAATCATTCAGATGAACAAACTCCACCTCCTATGGAGTACGACGATGCCTTTTTAAATGATTTTCCTTTGGAAGATGACATTCTTCTGGAAGAAGAGATCCAAAGAGAACTACAAGAAGTGCCATCAGTTGCCAGGAATGGAAATGTAAATTTAAGTACTGAGAGAATTCCACATATATACCGAAGCTCTCGTGGTTCATCTTTAAGTGAAACTTCTGAAAAAGATGATGGATGTGAATGGGAGAAGCCTGTAGAAGTTACCAGCCAGCGAAAAAATCCAGGAAGAACAGTATCTACTGGTGATAGAACTAGTACTAGTGGCTTTTTACAGTGTAACAGTGTATCTCAGGCCTGCAGCTCGGCTACTGTTCTTTCGGAAATTCCTCATGAAGAAAGACTGAATGATTTAGGCCTGGATGAGAGCAGCTGTCAGTCCCGTCATGCTCCTGACAGCAGGCAGTTGAACAAGGATCCTGTATCTTTCTCAAAAACTGTTCCAGAAGCAGATCAGCAGGCCATTCTTTGCAGACCAGAAAATGCACGTTATCTCGATTTAAATTCTCCACCTTTCACATACATTTCCCTTCTCCTTGCAAAAAAGCCAGAAACTGTTACAGTTGTGAAAGTGAAGTGTTTTATTGTAACTCTCACTGGAAATCTCACAAGCAGTAATGGGTCCTGGGGTATAAAAGCTAAAGTTTCAGATGGCTCTGCTTACCTTGAAGTAGATTTTGCTGATGATATTCTAACAAGTTTGATAGGATTTTCAGTGCCTGAAATGCATATGTTGAGAAAAGATCCAGCTTTACAATCAAAGCTTAAGGACGGTTTAGAAAGATGCCAGAAACAATTGATAGATCTCTGTTGTTTGATGACTATAGAGTTTAATCCATTTCAGTCTAAAGCCACTGTCTTAATACTACAGGATACTGATGCAAGGCATCTAGAACAACTGAAGAAACGTTTAAATAAAGAAAATGTACAAAGCTACTGACATAACAGAAACATTTAAATTAATATTTCCTCCAAGAGTTGAAAGTTTAACATTTTGAAGTTAAGTGGTGTGCTTTTTCTTTCAGAGAAAGTTGTAGAAAAATGAGAAGAGGGGATGAATTGATGGGAAAGAATTTAGCACTGTGCTTCTTAAGTGACAGCATTGAGTTACATTTTCACGTAGTTCTGGCTTGATTTAAAACATTCATGTATCCTTCTAATTCAGCAACATCTTCTGTGTTCTTGACTGGTATTCTGTAGAAGCAGATTTTGTCAGGAAATGAATAATAAAGAACAAACCTGCTCATTCTTACTCTTTCTTAAGGGTGAATTCTTACCTGATATTTAAAAGGTAGCTGTGGTGGAAAGCAATTGAGTAAATCACGATAGAATTATTGTTTAGGTGTGATCACTTCTGAATATGCCAGCTTGAAAATTTGAGTAGACAGTGTTTGTACAAGAGCCTGAAGTATAGAGAAGTGGAAGATTTTCTTCTAAAAATTCAGGTGTAGAAAAACCCAAAAACCTACATATACATAAATGGGATTAAAAAAAAAACCCAAAACCCTGTATTTAAAATACTTAGCAATTAAAAATATATATTTTATTAGCAGAAAATGATTATTTTAACAAATATGTTTCTATGTTTTGGCATGTTAATCATTGCTAATATTTTTGAACCCAGGTGAACTTATTCATTAGCTCTTACAGTGTTTATTAGTCTAATCTCTCCACAGAGTTGTTAAATACTTATGCTACAAATCTCCCATACAGTAATGTTGGCCTTAATTTTTGTTTTGTATTTCTGCTTTTAGAGTGTATATAAGTAAACATTAAACTTCTTGTATAAATTTTGGTGAAAGCTGTTCTGTCACCTTCAGAGAAAAATTATAACATATAAAAATCTTTTTGAGTGTATAGAGATAAATATTTTTGTTTGGTTTTGTTCTTCCCTTTTCTTCTTCCCACCTTTAACCTTCATTTTGCTGTTTGAAATGAGTGGAATTCTGAATTCTTCTAGGAGTAGGGTGATAACAGCATAAGTCTGTGCAGTGTTGAGAGAGCGTGTGGAGAAAATTGGTAGTGAAGAGAGGGATTTTTCATTTGGGTTGTCATTATTTAACTTTTTTCATAGCCTCTTCCCTTTCTAAACCATGGCTGCTAGAACTTTGGAAGTTGCTGTGAGACTCTGTCAGCATTGATTCCCTGCTTTGCACCCAGTTGAGAGTTTTTCTTCAAGACTCCAAGGAACTTAAAGAAAAGCAGAGGTAATTTGCTAAATAAGATAGAAATGGCTGCAGGTGAAGAAAGGAAAAGTTTTGTGAGGCAAGGGCCTTTTTATGCCTTTTGTTTCCAACAACTTAGAAATATATGAATTCCTGTGTTGCTTTTTACTTCCTCTGCTTCCCTTTCCCTCTCCTCTCTGAAGAGAATCTAAGCAAACCATAACCCTGTTGTCTGTTTTTTATATTCTGGTCTGTTGAGAGTTGTGTGTCATTTAGAATTGTAATAGCAAAAATCTAGATTGCTATGAAGAATCTATTTTTGAAGCAACTGAAGCTCCAGCATTATTATGTGTTTGTTAATAGGGAACTGACTAAGCTTCATTTCAGGCAATCCCCTTAAAATGTAATACAGATGACTAATCTAGGGAAGTTTTCCATAAAACTTTTACATTTCTTGGAGTTGTGGAAATTACATTATTTCGTTTGAGATGCTAACTTTATCATGAAAAACAAGTCCTTTAAGTTTGAGCTAAACAAATGATACATGCATATTCTACCAGTGAAATGGAAGAGCAAACCATTCAAAGCACTTAAACAAAATAAGTGTTATCATTGTCTGAGCTAGTCACCTCAAATCACACTTCCAGTCTTCCTGCATTTGCTTTTTTTTTCTGCTAAAAGAAGTTCAAATGCCTCCCTCCCTCCCTTGGCCTTCTCCCTGCTGGAAAGAGATATACTGTCAGATCTGTTCCCTCTCACTTCCTGCCCCACACCTAAGTCTTCAGTTTCTGAATGTCCTTTTCCTGGAAGACTTCTGCGCATGTTGTCAAGTGTATGCAACAACGTATATCTCAGTACTGCTGTCTGCTCAGCACTTGACTGCTCAGCAGTACAGTTCAGTACGATTTTCAGGCATGTGTTGATTCCAGATCTGTGTTTAAGAATTAATGACAAATATTATGTTTTGTTTTGTTTTCAGATAAGAAAAGAAATAAAATTTCAGCACACTTGATTAACAGCAACATATCAAAGAAGCAGTGACATAACTGGCTGTATGCCAATAGTTGGTTCATGCACAGTTCACTTTATTGGCGATCAGATCCACCTTTGCTATTTCTGATCACGATGCTTATGTGCTGTGAGTACATATGATGCATGTATGTTGCCTTTGCATGCCAAGCACTGATGCATGTCTGTCTTTCGATAATCAGAATTCTTACAGGTCAAGTAATCAAACAGGCTGCAACCTCCCGTCTGTGTTAGGGATCAAGAGGAGAGGTGCGAATGCATTTTGCTTGGAAGTGGTTCAGAAATCCCTTACAAGCTGATGAAGACAATAGTGAATATAACTCAAGAACTGCATGTAGCATTCTGTCAGAAAGCAGCTCCTGCTCTTTCTGTCCTCTCTTCTCTTTCACTCTTCCCTAACTGTGCCCTACTTTAAGGATATTCCCTCTCACAGTAGCATAAAGCAGTAGCTAGACCAAAGGATGTGGCAGGTTTACAAATAGACTAGGCTTCAAAAACAGTTTGGGGACTAGCCTAATCCTATTGGATACAAGTTTTTCCATGGTGATGCATGTCATTGTAACCTGACAGTGTGGTCTTGTTGAATGAAGGCAGCATCCTAAGGAAGGAAGCAACAGCCTGTTGTGATAATATTATCTTGAAGTGCCAGTTAGTAATGGTAATGCGCTTCCGAAAGGATGCGCTTAATGATTCCATCTAAGAGCATTTCAGTGGCTTCATGATGAAAAAATATTTCAGGTCATATCAGTAAGAGAAGTTCTCATAAAAGCTAAGTGACAAATCATAATATTTGTTACTAGGCATATTTCTTAGTGTCTTGCTATAGTAATGTCAAGTATTTCTATCTAGAATAAAAAAACCCAGTAACTTCAAGTATTTCTTGGTAGGTAGTTAAGAGTGAATTACAGCAGAGTGTTTCTGAGTTATTGTAGTGGGTAGCAAACTTTAATGTATTTACCTGAGAGAAAAGGGCAAAAAGGCCTTTAAATGTAAATAGTACTTCTTATTTCAGATCCAGAATTCTCTGCATTACAGTCCCTGAAGAAATGAAACAGCAGAACAGCAACAATGACAGAAATGGGAGATAAGGGCAGCCTGACACTGCAATCTTGTTAAGCTCCACAGAAGAGGCATAATTTCCTACCTACCAGCTTCTGCTATCCGTGTACCAGACTTCTGTATCAGTATGGCCCTATTTAATCCTTTTTCCTTAAGGGTTGTTTTTTTGTTTTGTCTTTTTTTTTTTTTTTTTTCCTGCTTACACTGGGTTTTCCAACATAGTAAAGCTGTAGTGTGTTCCCGTCAGAATCTGTCCTGCTTTTGTTTCTTAGACTGAACAAACTTACTTATCCTCTCCAGGGATTGATGTGTGCTCCAGTCCCCTGATCACCTTGGCAGACCACTGCTGGACATGCTCCAGGGTTTTCCTATGCTAGTGAGCTCAAAATAGGACACAGTGCTCCAAAAGTGGTCTCTCTCAAAGCACTGAAAACAGGAAGGGTTGCTTTCTTGAACTTGCTTGCTGCTGTCCAGTAAAGCTTGATATACAATTAGTTACCTTAACTGTAAAGACACTGTGCTCCTTATCTGTCCTGTCTTCTGCAGTATGCTGCAGCGCTGCCTTTCTGCAGGTCCTGATAATAGAACTGGGGAAGTGTAAGGCAGGAAGCAGACCTTAATCCTCGAGAAAAAAAAACTTAAAACAAACAAATGAAAATTACTGAGTACCTCAATCTTTCCCATGTAATTTGTACTCTCTCTTATTCAATGGTGAACTCCTATTTTCCACCATCCCTGAATCACGGAATCACAGAATCACAGACCCAAGCAGGGGGCAGTCTCTCACTGGGTCCAGGTAGATTCCTAAGTGAGCTTTAACTTGATTTCCAGAAGCTCAGAGTTATAACTCTGTTACCTTGCTCACTACTTGAAGCACTTTACCACACAATATCAGGATCACTCAGACAGGTCTATCCTTAGCTGTGCCCATCTTGAGGTCTTGTCTTTGAGGCTCAGGTCCCTCAGAGCATTGCCTGCCATCCACTCACTGCTCACCTGCATCTTTGTACCTCTATGTCTGAAGTAAGCTGTAAGCTATATAGGGGAAGGTTTTGTATTGTAACACAACTCACCATAATAATGGATTTAAACTAGCATTTGTAGTGTGAGTAATGGAAGAACTTATCACTGAACAGCAAAATAAGTTGCTTAAAAGACAATGGCAACATGCAGTCTGTTGTTCTGTGCTAGGTGAATTTTTAGAAAACGTAACTTTTCCACTATTTTCAAGGACAGTCAGCTGATTTCAACAAAGTTTTTAGAAGGTCAGGATGCAGGCAAATACCCTTGAATCAGTAATGCAGCCTGACTGGATAAGCAGCTGGAAAAGATGTTTGTAGAAGAAATGACAGGCCTGAAACTTTTACAGGCAAAGGAATTTCCTTCGTTCCTGAGGAATCATAGAATCATAGAATCACCAAGGTTGGAAAAGACCTAAAAGATCATCCATTCCAACTGTTAGCTCCCACTAAACCATGTCCCTCAACACAACATCCAGCCTTTCCTTGAACACCTCCAGGGTCGGTGACTCCACCACCTCCCTTGGCAGTCCATTCTAGAAGTTCTCACAAGTCCATTTGCCAAAGAAAAGAAATCTACCTCAACTTGGTGGCTACTGAAAGTGAGGTAGGATTTTGAGTCTGAGTAGCTGAATGAGCTGAATTCATCTAATTTTCAGCTCTTAAGCACCTTATCTGCAATTGGGGTGGGAATTTGGAGATATTTGGTATTTAGTGCTATATAAATGAGCATCTATGCCTGTTTCAGAAGCACCTAACTCCTTGAAAAGGTTCTGCTGAGAGCTTGTGCAGTTAACCTAGCTGGTGTGGACCACCTTGACACATTACACAAGTTCTTTTTGTCTCTCTTTGGAATTTTGTCCTTAGATGAGAACAGCCTTCCTTGGGGGGGGAGGAAAAAAAAAAGGCACTTTATTATTTCTGCATAAAGGGTCAAGGTTTTTTTCTAAAGATGTTGGTAATAAACAACAATGAGGCAGTAGATGACAGCCTGACCTTAAAGTACTGGCAGAATCATAGCCTTCACAGAGCATCCTTTTAGATTAAAAAAAAAAAAAAAAATCCTAAAACATTGAGGTGAAAATATGCACATAGAAGAGAATCTGTGACAGGAAGGAATGTGATTTATGGTCATTATGAGGAAATGTTCTACACCAGCAGCACTGAGGAAGAAATAACTGCAATTACAAGCTAAATGTTTACAGCTGACTTTTCTGCATGTAAGACAATTTCATTTAATATTTACCATTACAGTACAATCATCATTTAACAAATGTATAGTGTGTATATAGTACAGGCAAGAATTATTACTGTTTAACTACAAATCAGGCATTTATTTTATAGAAAAACAGACCAGTACTGCTGGCTACCTAAGCACATACTTAGATAATTTACCTCCAGTTAGAAATGTTAGTACAGTTACCCTCATACAGATTCTCACAAGAAAATATTGTGAAATAGAAAGAGTAAACAAAGTTCTACTTTTAACCTAAAGCATTCAGAAGTCATCCAGTAGATACATGCTGTGAAAAGATGTGCTTTTCCCTTTAACTTACAGATCAATTATTCTTGAGTACAAAAAGTGACAAAAAATACCCTTGAGCTGCCAAGAGTTGCCAGGATATGTGCAGCAAAAACCTATGTATAAAAATAAAATGAAACAAAAAGAAAGTATTTCTTAAAAGTATGTTAAACTGTGCAAGGATGATGAAGGAAGATTTACTTTTTATTTTAGCAGTCACTAGGAAAGCACGTGTTTAGCTGCAAAGCTAATAGGCATGAACTGGTAAATACTGTGATGTGATCACAGAACAAAGGCAAAGCCAACACAGGAGGAAAAGAGATGTTTTAACTATAGAGTGTGTTGCTATTTGTGAAGGGAATTGAGTTTGATATTACATTATATTTTTAATAACTATGTCAGCTTTTATTTATAACCTTATTTTCTAATACAAGCGTTGTAGAGCACAGATCTTATTTAATGTAAAGTAAGACAGAAACAGTGTATTTTGCTTTATATCTGCAATATTTATTGGTATTTTTGATGGTAAATGACTAATCACAAGGGGGAAAAGAGTCTGTTCTCAGCAGGTATAAGACAACCAGTTAGGCAAATATTACTTTCTGATTCCATTTTAAACTCCTAGTTTGGTTATCGTTCCTCAGCTTCTGCCATTCACAGATAGAAGTGGGAGTTAGTTTGATCTCATATTTTCGTAGTGGCCTTTATGAAGTTAATGAACAATATATTATTAGGCCCTGCAAAAATCAAGATGTGAAGTAATTATGAATACTCACAGCAAAAAGTATTATTTATTGATATGTAAGCATAGCAGTCAGTCTTCACAGACAGTTGCAAATGTACAAAGTGAAGCATGACTGTATATTTATCTATTATTATGGGTTTTTTTAATATTTTCCTAATAGTAGTTTATTCTTGTGCTACAGACAGTTCTGCTTCAACTGTACAGTCTGGACCAAACCCACTTTTTTGTAGGCATGAATTAACTATTATTGCTATTTCTTTATGGAAAAAAGTGTTCTTTGACTTGATTTATTTTTGTCAACACATGAAAATGTGTGGTAAGAAAAAGTATTAGTCTTTTGGATAGTCTTAAGCTGATTTAAGTACACAGCTTAACGTTTTTCATGAAGACTCTCTATTCTGTGAAATAATTAGTGTTTAATCTAAAAATCCAGTATTATATTTCTATTTTAATTTACTGCTTTATGTCTTCCTGAAGCAGTAGGTTTGTTCACTTTTTATTCTACTGGGGTCTTCAAGCTTCAGGAAAGATGTTCTGTGATCTGTGAAGGAAGGAAACCAAGTTTTTATGGCAACGGAGGTGATTATATTTTGCATTGTAATATTTTGTCAGCTAAGGTTTTGAGTGCTGGAAAATCGGATGTATGTGTTCCCAAATTCATTTAGGAAGTGTAAGAGCTTGTTAGTAGTAAAAGGCGTTATGATTGGTGAGAAAGTCCAGTATCTCAAAGAAAGTGTATTTTAGCAGGACATTTCTTTAATTTCTTTAGTTACATAGAAAACAAAAAGCAAAAGATTTTTAAAAAGCAGCATTAGAAGGACATTCTCCTAAGCTATTAGCTCATACTCTCCAAACTATTTGCTCATTTTAGTTTAATTTGATATCTGTATTTAAATTAAGATTGCTGATCTAGGCAAGGAAGTAATGATTTTTACTGGTACAGCATTGAAAATACTGTTAGTACATCCATCATCTGTAAAAGCAACATTTGTGCTGTAGTTGCTCGTGGCAGATAAGACTGCAACAAGTGCTCCTAAATATTTTTATAGTGCTTGTAAGCTTGGTCTGCAAAAACTTAAAGATACTGTGGGCTTTGTTTTTTACTGAGGGTACTGTCTCACCCAGCATGTTTGAAACAAAAATGTTCATTCTATGGGGAAGCCTGTAAAACAGTCAGCTGTCTGGGGTAACTTGATGCCATTCAGTCATGGAAACTGGATTGTTTTTTCTGGGGGATGGTTTCTGTGCCTCTGCATTATTCATGGTATTGTCATAGACCAACAAAATCAGCAGATACTGTTTTTTCTGTATAAAGATGCTTTGGCTGCTAGCATTTGTGCCAGTTTGCAGAACCTTGGTCAATAAATTTCCTCTACGATTTAGGTGAAATTTCGCTCATTGAAAAAATAAATGAGGAACTGATAATTTGATGTGATATTTCTGCATTTGCTTTAGGTTTATTTGAGCCAATGCAACTACTAAAAGAAGCTGTTAGACATTTTATGTCCCTGCTTTCATGTTTGTACATCATCCTTTTTTATCTTGGGTTTAAAACAAGGAAAAAGCATTGCAGTGCTCTGCATTTAAAAACTACCTTTGATTCCTGTCGCTGGGTTGGACTTTAGCCTGAATCAGCCCCCTGAGGCACAAGGAAGTAAATGATGCAAGGTTTGAAAGAAGCAGGGTGAGGGAGAGCTGCATGGGCTGGTTCAAGGTGTTTGAAACTCTGGCCACAGGCACAATCTTGATGACAGCAATGGGCATCCTTGGAACCAGCTGGAGGAAAATAGGATGAAAATATAGGAAGAGGCCAAGGAAAGAACACAAGAGAAGGAAGCTAAGAAGCTCTGAATGGAACAGCGAGAGAAAAAGCTCACTATGTCCTCTGTTTTCTTACTTGAATCAAACAATGGTTTTCTTAGGAGTTGGAAAGAAGAATAAACAGATGAAGATGGGGGGT